AAACGTGAACATTATAGCACAATTTATTACCTCTTTTAAAACAAGTTGCTTTTTTAAAAAAAATAAAATTTTATTATAATCATCCGATCCAAACAAGGGATCAAATTGTTTTACACATAAAAATGGGTACAAACTGAACCAAAAAAGAAGATTGTGTCTTCGATAAACCTAATCGCTTATGTCTCAACGCTGAGACTGATTTAGAGATATTCTCGATACACACTTTGATCCGTTGACGATTGCAAAAATAGGGTTTTACAATGTCTAATGTATAATGACAATGCATTAACTATGGCAACAACAAAAATTGATGTAATCAATAAAACATTTGGACTTTTTGAATTGTTATACTTTTTATAACGCTTTCAGTAATGTTGTTATACTTTAAAAGTCATTCGAAATAATGTTTATAATATTTTCATTTCCATGATACTTCAAGATAATTTAAAATTCACGAATCAAATTTTGAATTTTCATGTATGACAATAAAAAATATATGACAATAACATAAATTTAAAAGAAAATTTTAAACATGGTTACAAACCTCTCTTCCTACTGAACTTGGTTTCAAGTGGAATGAAGATATCTAGCACATTAACACTTCACCAAAGCTAAAGCTATTCCTTTGGAAACTTATGATTGGAGCTTTACCTGTTGGAGAACAACTAGCAACTCGTGGAATCATCAACCAAGCACAGTGTGTGAGGTGTGAAGAAACTGTTTTTCCATTGCCTCTATGCGCAAAAAGTGTGGCAACTAGCGCCTCTCAAGACACCGGTTAACCCCCTAAATCTGACAAATATGAGAGAAGCGTTCACTATGTCGAAGCTGTTGATTTGCTTGCCACCAACCGGTATTGGATCGGGCCCTCTTCTCCCATGGATCTGTTGGAACCTCTAGGTGGCAAGAAACAACCAGATCTTCTCGAACCGGATCTTCTCAGAAGAAGACACCATGAACAAAGTGATTAGAGATGCACACGAATGGCTGCTGGCTCAACCATCTGTCAACAGTACTCCCCTCAATCAGCCTAATCGGACTCAGGAAGTCTTGATCCGATCAGTCCGATGCTTCACCGACGGAGCTTGGAGAGGAGACACAAGAGAAGCCAGAATTGGATGGATCTCGGGATCAGGACGATCAAATCATCACCTAAGGATCCAAACCCCTATCTCAGATCAGACCGCCTCTCATGGCCGAAGCAATGGCGATGAGAGAAGCCCTTCTTCACGTGAGGTCCATCGGACTGTGTAGATTCAGAGTAGTTTCAGATTCACAACAACTACTCAACTTGATCAACTCCAAAACTCAACAGATCGAGATTTTTGAGATCCAGAACGATATTCTCAATCTCTCTCTAGAACTCTCTGTAAAAGCCTTTGATTACGTTCAAAGAGCAAAAAACCAAGAGGCTGATTCCCTTGCAAAATCAGCCTTAACCCTTGTATCGGTTCTCTTCAGTTTTCTTAAGTGAATGAAAATTGATTTTTTGACCAAAAAAAAGAATATTTTTTTTTAAAATTCATGATAGGGAAGAAATTTGTTGACTGAACATATATATTTGTTCTTGACTAAATCCCTTTAAGGAGAATATTTTAGAATAATATTATTTGTAAAAACACTATAAAAATGCCAGGATTTACCATTAGTATAATCACCAGATTTTGATACTTAGACGTGTATTATAATATTTATAAACGTACAAAATGATATGTATTGTGTATAAATATAATAAAATTAAATTTTTATCAAACATATTTTGATGTCATATGCTTTGATCAATTTTTCATAAAAATATTAAAACTATTTATTGTATATATGATATAAATTAGGTGGGTAATTAGGCTAATATATAGTTGGGTTCTTCTAATTATTTGCATAATAAATTAATGTTATCAAGAATTTTTAATAGATTTTTTTAAGAGTTCATTAAAATCCTTTTTATATGATACCTAGTGGAGTGAACAAAAAAGACAAGTGAATTTTTTTTTTAAAACAAAAAAAAAAAGAAGACAAGTGGAGTGAAATTTCCAATTTTATCCATATATGATACTTTTGATGTTTCAGCTGCGACCACATGCTTTCTGCGATTACATTATGAGCTGCCAGTGATGAACTGATGATTATATGTACAATTGTAGATTCTTCGTCCAGGCCCCTATATTACTTTTTTTTATTTTAAAAACAAAACCAATAGTTTGGACACCTACACAGATATGAACCTTTCGACTTATTTGCAAATTCGGAAAGAAAGTTTATCCATGGACTACACTTTCTCCAGAGATTCATCTGGGCTCTAGAACTATGATTTATCATGAGTTATCAAATAAATAAATAAACGAAACCAAATAATTCTTATAACTTCACATAAGAACCTTTGATAGAGGATTAACTAGTTTTTTTATAGATTTTTAACTCTACGTCAAATCGAATAAGATAATATATTATTATTACATGATAAGGCAAATATAACAAATTATTAAAAAATAAAAATAAGATTATCGTCGTCGTATGCTTAGAGCATGTTTAACGTTGAAACTTTAATAGTCTCATGATATTAAAACAAAAATGAAATAAAGAAAAAATATATTATATGGTCAGATTTTGACTTGAGCATGCCATAGATATTGTAGAGACGGATCAACGGAGCCAACAATAAACTAATATTAAAATTAATACTAAACAATATTTAAAAAACTCTTATAAGTATCATAGTTAATGATGCTCTTACAATTTACAAATAACCGAATGGTAACAAGTAACAACATTTATGTATTGGTGCGACAATTTAGATACTTTTACCACACAAAAAAGAGAGACAATTTAGTGGGTTTGTTGAGACTCCATCCTTCCGCTGTTCCAAGTGTTTCTCACTGACATTCCTTGATGATTCATGACCGATTTCTGCTCCACTGCTCCCTGTTTTGCTCCAGAAACTTGCAATTCTCCTGTGCATCCACTCCTCTGTCCTCAATTCCAATCCTCTAGGCTCTAGTAAGCCGGATAGCTCCAATTAAGCAAAAGTACCAACTGAAAAAGGGTAAAGGAAGAGAAATATGTACAACTCTAACCTAAGACTCTAGAATGCAAATCTGAACTAAACTAGAGCTAAAGGATGCATGTATGATGTGGAATGATGCTAAACAGATGATAAAAACATGCAAATATGTACACATATGATGCAAATATATAGGTTATCA